GACGTGCTCAAAGAACAGGCGGCTGAGGCAAAAAAGAGCCATTTCGGAAAGGCAGCTGGTAAGTAAATCAGCGGTTAGCGTGCAGCGCTGGGCGGCCGCCTCCCAGGCGGGCGTTAGGGAAGAGCTGACCCGCGGCCTGCCGTTCTCCCCTCACAGGGGTGAGGCACAGGCTCTCGGTGTGAGGGACTGTTTTGCTGAAATCTGGTTAACTTTGTGAGGAGAGAGGAGGTAAGCCTGCCGTCTGACACGACCGGTGTTCAGAAGGGCTGTAGCAGCCCTAAGTGTGCCTGTGGCCGCAGCACCCTTGGGCTGAAAGCATGCAGAGGTCGAGAAAACAAAAAGTCTTACGTAGCTTTAAAGCTAAAATCCTGGGGGTTTTTTCTCACTGTTTTTATAGCCTTGCGTAGTAGTCATTTTATGTCAGAGAAGCTGCAGGGCCCTAGAACTTTTTCTCCACTTTCTCCTTCTAATCACACGTCTGTACAAAATATTATTTTCTAATGATCAATAAATCACTGCCCATTTAAAGCAATAGTTTCCTGTCTCGCCGTGCGGTGGTGCCAAATACTTTTCTAAAAGAGGCTGTTATGAAGTCACTGCTCATGGTGTAACTTTAATTATCAAGAATTAGAGGGGTTTTCTTTCAGTTGCTTATCTTGATATCTTAATACTAATAAGACTTATTCTCCCTTGCATACTGTTTGGGTTATTTAATTAGTGAGCCCTATTGCTCATTCTCATTATACAGTCCATTAGTAACTGACAGAATTTGAATGTTTCCACGGTCAGGGTCACGCTTGCTCTTTTCCTCCCGATCCATAAACAGTTTTACCTACCTGTATGAATATACTTCTCTAATATTTTCCTTGGGGGATTTCAGCACAATTCCTAGAGATAGGTAAATACCATCAAACCTATTTCGCTGACAGAGAAGCTGAAACATAGTGCAGCAGAATTAGTTTGCCAGAAGTCAAATATTAAGTTCATATCAGAAATAGGGACAAGATCTGTGATTCTCTTTACACTATATCTTTTTTGCCCCCTGAGCAACTGGTTATGGCATATATTAAGATTTCCTCTGCTTATTCTGCTTGCAAATACTTCCTATTCTTTGTCTTTAATACTTTTCTTAATTGTTAGAAGATTGAAGTTTGCCTTAACTTCATCACCTGGTACAGAAAGCGTGAATCATATGAGAATATCCCTCCCACACATGTACTATGTACTCTTTACAAATTTCAGTTCAATTTAAAGAAGTAAAAAGTTTATGTATATAATTTTTTTTTAAAATTTTTGTTTTCATGAGTAGGGGCACAATTACTGTGTGATTTTGGTTTATAGTGTGGTAGCTGTCTTGAGCTACCTGTCAGCATTGTATAACTGCATTAAAAGGATACTTTTCCTGTTATTAGTTCCCTTAATGTGGATTTTGTACCTGTGGTATCTGAGCTGCTGCATTAGGTTATATCAACATAGCCTCAGACATGTACTTTTAAAGGGGGTTCTTAAATGGACCTCATTCTTCAAGTATTTTTTCTTTATTATTGTATTTGGTATGCAATTTAGTTGATCTGTGAATGGCAATGGGGTTCTGATTTTTATTTTTGAGTAAAACTCATCATGACTAAAAATAGCAGGTCTGCATATTACTAAGTTTTGCAGAACAATCAACTTGTTGGAAGATGACTCTGATAAACTGTACTTAAAGGGTAAAAAAACCTATCCTCGTTACAGACACGCTATTTCGTGGATCACCGGAAAGTACGTGTGGTTGGAGGACAAGGAGGAGAAGGGGGTCATTCTTTTTATAGTGAACCCAGAAAAGTGTTTGGAGGTCCTGATGGTGGAAATGGAGGTGATGGGGGTCATGTAATTTTGAAAGGTAAAACTCACTAAATCTGTTTTGTTTCATGTTGTTTTATCACTTAATGCCCCACCCCCCCAGCAAAAACAACCCTTCAACAAACTGTTTATATGGTGGGAGCTGATAAATGTAAATATCAAAAATGTTAAAATTATTATTTTTGTATAAGATGTCTCTGCTTTTTAAGCTTTGTCCTGAGCTGTGGTAACAGGGACGTAAATGACACTGACAGCCTTAGAAAGCATTTTGAAAATCAAAATACTTTGCAGATGTTTTAGTGCCTCGTACCTGACTACTTTATGATAAGGCTGGGATCTGATTAAATTTTACTCTTAAGATGTTTAAAGCTGCTTCTGCCACCAGCCAGCTGCAAAATCTACTAATCTAGGAAATGACTTTTTCAGAGTATTTTGAACTGGTTGATTTTAGAATGACCATGTAATAAAGTGCATGGATAATAACCCTAAGAAAAGGCAGTTAAACTTCATCACAACTTACATTAGTATTAGTTTTCCCTGATGTGTTATTGTTGGGACAGTAAATAGGATATGCATTCATGCAATATTCAAAAAGGGAATGAACAGTCAAAAGGTTGCTTTTCTGTGCCTGTTCCACGAACACAATGTGTTTAAAATATGCATATTTTGCTTTACAGCTGACCAGCAACTGAAATCACTTTCTTCAGTCCTCCCCTTCTATCAGGGTTTTCATGGAGAGAGAGGAGGAAGCAAAAACTGTTACGGAGCTAATGGTGCCTATGTGTACGTTAAAGTAAGTGAATTAAGGTTGCATGCTAGTGTGTTGGCTTTGTATTAACATTGCTGATTTACAAGCTGGATGACTTTATTGTGAGAAAATTTCATGTGCTTTTTTTTCAGGGAGCCTTGTGTGCTGTCTCTGCTGAGACAGGGCTGATTGGCACAGAGGCAGATCAAGCTGCTTTAAATTATTTGTAAAAATTAGTCTTCTTTGGAAGGTACATCTGGCCAAAACAAATACAATTCTGATTTGCTTTACTTCTGGGGGTCATATGCCTAGAGCAATCAGAACTCAGAACTTCCTTAAGTGGGAGCAGACTTTTTTCTTTTGTACTTTTTTTTTTTTTTTTTTTTTTTTCCTTCAACATGCCTGTTTTGGTGCACACCTACAGTATGTTTCTTAGCTCACTACTGTGTTTAGGTGTCTTTGCATGAAAGGAGGGTTATGGCACTGTTAACGTTTTAATGAAGTGTAAATGTCTGACAGTGCTGCTTGGGTCCAGAAAGTGAGCCCCATGAAATACACTTCTCTTTTTGGGTTCCTCAGCTTGAGAATATGGAAGAATGATTTTCAACAAGTCTGAAATCAGCTGGTAAAGGATCTGCTGAAGACAGCTCTGCTGCAGCGTTTGAGCTTAGTGTAATGTTTGCACCTCTCTTCACTTTAAGGTCCCTGTAGGTACATTGGTTAAGGAGGATGGGAAAGTTGTGGCTGACCTCACCCAACATGGTGAAGAGTATGTTGCAGCTTATGGAGGAGCTGGAGGGAAAGGTAATCGTTTTTTTCTTTCCAATGAAAACCGAGCTCCAACGTTATTTACTCCAGGAGAGCCAGGTCAGGAAAGGGTCCTCCATCTGGAACTCAAGACAACAGCTCATGCAGGACTGGTGAGTGTTGCTGTGGTTCTTCAGCTTCTTTTATCATTGTAGGATGACACTTGACTGACTGAAGAAATAATGTTTGATAACATTTTTGTTAGCTTTTTGGCTTGCTTGTTTAGAGATGCAACTCAATGCTTTCTTGCTGTTACTTGGTAGAAGAGTGTCCAGAGTGATTTGCAGAGCTGTCGCTCTCTTGCTACTTGACGTCATCCTACTTTCGCCAAAATCAACGCTATATATATAGAAAAGCAATGTGCAATGTCTGATTAAGAGACTCACTGATGATGTACAGCAGGCTTTGTCCTCCGGCTCTGCAGATGAACCGTATGGAGAGTTCAAGAGTTCTTCTAAATTAATTTCTGTTTTCCTCCGGCTCTGCAGATGAACCGTATGGAGAGTTCTTCTAAATTAATTTGTTTTCTTTTTTTTTTTTTATAAAAAGAAAGTTGGTAAAGTTCAAATCATTTTGTTTCATCCCTATATTTCTCTTTTTACCGATATTAAACATTTGACTTTGTTCCAGATTTAGCATGCTCTGAAATGAAAATACTATTTATACGTGAACGCTAAGTCAATTCAGGGCTTAAGCTGTTTTCATTTTTAAGTATGGAAATGTTTTAACACCAGCTGGTAAAGCAGTTAAAATTATGCTTTGCTGGAAAGAGTTCTTGCTGTAGTTCAGCAACTGTAGAATAACTGTCTGGTCTAGCAGAATTCCGTGAATTTATTGGGAGACTAAGAAAAGAGTTGGCATTGGTGGATCAATACACTTAATTCTCTGACCAGCTGGACACTCTGGTCCACTTCTCACATTGTTGGCTCTAATTTGGAAGTCTGAGTTGAATCTGTTCTGTAATTCCTCAAGAATTCAGAGTGTCTGACATCAGCAAATAGGAGAATTTACGATTTGATCTGCTTTCACGTGGGGATTATTGACCATCTATGTAGCCATTGTACGCCAGCTATAGGATACCCCAGAGTAACTTCATTTCTGGGATAGGTTTGTTTAAATTCTTGCCTTCTCCCCAGAAGGCCAAGTTTCATATTAATTCTTTGATGTCAAGACTATGAAAATCCCAAGCTTGTAGGCATTCTGGTTACTTATGGGCCAAACTGGTACTGAATCAGGGGCAAAGCCAGTTCTGAATTCTTTTGGAAAATAATAAATCAGAGTTAGAAGACACAGATAAAATGGGAAGTGCAGGGCAAAGTGTCATAACATTATTCCAGGGTAAAAGAGATCTTGTGGTACGCCAAACTAATATTATATTTGTGGTGGATTAACCTTGCCACATCTGCAAAAGCTTACAGGTTTTTTTATTGGGATTAACCTAGAACTGTGGCTTTAGTGAGTGTTTGTATTCCAGGTGGGCTTTCCCAATGCTGGTAAATCATCGCTTTTGAGGGCAATCTCCAATGCAAAGCCAGCGGTGGCTGCCTACCCGTTCACAACCCTAAATCCCCATGTTGGCATTGTCCACTATCAAGACTATGAACAAGTAGCAGGTAAGAATTGCAGTATGTTGTGTGTACCTTGATAGCAATTTGTGCCACCCAGATTGTTCTTTAAAATGCTGCAGAATGAAGTTCAACAGTGCTGTAGAATTCTTGCTAGTTCTAAAGAACTTAAACAAAAAAACACTGAAAGCCCATTCATGTTCACTTACATTTGCCCTTAATATCAAACTAGCAATCTGTATTCCGTCTTCACTGGAATAGTCCAAAGTTAGGGGTTTTAAAAAATAATAACAGCTAAACTTAACATGGGGTATGCTTTAATACTGATGCATTCAGATGTAATTGTAGAAGTACTTGCACTGGCCAGTAAAAAACTGTTTGTTTTCTTGGATATGTTGAATTCACTGTGAAATTTCTCTCATTGCAGTTGCTGACATTCCTGGCCTAATAAAAGGTGCTCATCAAAACAGGGGCCTCGGGATGGCCTTCCTAAGGCATATTGAACGCTGCCGCTTTCTCTTGTACGTGGTGGATCTCTCTGTGTCGCAGCCATGGATTCAGCTGCAAGACTTAAAATATGAACTGGAACAATATAAAAAAGGATTGTCTGAGAGGCCTTGTGTTGTCATTGGGAATAAGATTGACCTTGCTCAGTCCAGGATCAATCTGCCACTCCTTAAAGAAGAGATAGCTGATCGGGTCATTGCATTGTCTGCATTGACAGGAGACAACCTCGAGGAACTGTTGTTGCATTTGAGAGAACTGTATGACACTTACGTGAAGACAGAGCAGTCACGAGGGCAAAGACCAGTCAAGTGGTAGGAGCCAGAACTACTGTGAACTGTACTGGAAGGAGGGGAAAAAAAAATACAATTTTATTAGATTGCGTCTGTGTGGTTTTAGGGTTTTTTAAGGATTTTTTTTTTTTTTTAAATGCAAGGGGCACAGCATATGGATTTGTTCTAGACTGCTGCATTGGAAAGATCTGTTTGTTTGTTCATTCACCTTTGAGGTGTCTTGGGTATTTTACAACGAGATTTGAAAATTGTAATAATGATGGGTGTTGAATTGGAAACCTGGATCATCTTTGATGTTAGATAGCGTTCTCTTCATTCCACAAATGGATTTGTTCTAGACTGCTGCATTGGAAAGATTTGTTTGTTTGTTAGTTCACCTTTGAGGTGTCTTGGGTATTTTACAATGAGATTTGAAAATTGTAATCATGATGGGTGTTGAATTGGAAACCTGGATCTTTGATGTTAGATAGTTGTGGAATGAAGAGAACGCTATCTAGTAGAAATGACTGAAATACAGGATCTGCAGGAGGTGCTGGCTTGCTTTCTGAATTGGAGTGAAGTGACTTCTCAATTTCCACTGATCAGAAATTCTAAAATAAAAATAAGATGGTCCCATGTTTGTCTGTTTTTATACCATAACCACTTTCAGTCATCATCTGTTAAACTTTTCTCCTGTTTTGTTTTTTTTTCTCAGAGGAGGCACAGCTGCTCGTTGTTTTTAGGGAGGAGCATGAAACAGCTGTAATTAATGATTGAAATTATTTCCTCGTTAGTATAAATAATGAACTATCTTTAAATGCTGGCAGCAGCTAAATAGCTGTATAAACTAGCTGGAGAATGGTCATTTGAGACTCACTTCTGAGTTCTCCAGTTTCCCAGAGGAATCTCAAGTAATGTTCTGAGAAATCCTAGGCTTAGATATTCCACATACAAGACAAATACAGTTCTTTGCCTTTTTTTTTTTTTTTTCTTTTTAGCTATGTCATTTTGTGGACAGTGTTCTTCAAATTTTATTCGCTGGGAGTTCTGAAATCTTCATTTACAACAGGGTGTCTTTGCCTTATTGTGCTTCTGTATATTCTGTGTAGAAGATTATTATCTTGATAGTGAAAAGTCAAAATTTAGCAAAACATATTATTAAGCTTTTTCTTAAGGGACCCTAACAGACTTGTGATATGTTGACACGCAAATATTTCAGTAGTCAAGAGAAACAATTGTTCATGAGCCTTTAGTTATGTTGCTTGATTTTTAAAGCCCGCTGCTGGTTTGGAAGGCAAAGTTAGCCTGGAATTACAGACCTTGCACATACTTTGTCACATCAGTTGAGTGCAAAGTAAATTCATTAGCACCATCATAAAAGAGAAGATGCAATGTTTGTAAACTTGGCTTTGTTTTTTGGGAAATACAATAGTTTTAAGGACAGTTTGGGGCATAATAAAATATGCACCTATCACTTGTCTTTGGTTAAGCTTTGTTAGCTTACAAATAAGGATTTCATTATGGTTAAACTAAAATTGGCTATTTTCTGTTGTATCAGCCATCGTAGGAATTACTTGGTGGGTTTTAAAAAAAAAAAAAAAATCGGCTGTAGCTTCTAAATATTTCATTCTACTCCAGAGAAGGTGATCATTCTCTCTGCTTTTGTCACTTTGCATATTTTGTTTGATTTCACCTCTGACACTCGAAGGCTTCCGAATGGTGCATCCTTAAAAGGCTGGCTTTCTCGGCTTCCATGAGCGATGGACGTTTTTCCCTGACTGCCTGTGACTGGAAAGGGGCAGTCTTGTTCAATCTTTAAAGCTTAACTCACACCCTCCTGCTGTATCAGTGTTGGGATCAGCTCTGTGATTATGATTATGAATTAGAACTAACTTTGCCTGTATAAGAAAGAAGGCATGTGCTCCTTAAGAGCAAGCAGGTTTTTGTTCTGAAAAAGCACAAGGTTCACTCAAATGCCTGAATTATTAAATAAAATTACAGGCAAACCAGGTAATTACCTCTCCTAAATCCACATTTTGAGTATTTCTATCTGTGATCAGGTGTGGAACGTAATCTATGCATTATAAGCAGTGATACTGGTATAAATATGATCAGGAAAAAATGAAAACAAATACTAAATCCCAAAGCCACTCTCATGTTTTTTGTTTCATACTTGCTCCATCCCTGGGACTCACCAAACCGAATTAGGTAGAAGTTAATGCTCAGTTCTGTCCTCCTGTTTGGTTTTGTGCAGCATTTTTAGGCTTCACTGTTGTATTTCCTTCTATTGCTACAGGTTTTTCAGCCACATTTAATAAAACCAGAAGATTGCCTGAACACAAAAGCTGGTGCAGCTTCTGTGCAGAACATTTGATACCTACAAATCGTTTGCGTGCTCTCTGACTGTGTTTTAGTATTTGGTAGTCTTTGAGAATGACAGAGGCTGTTTGAAGCCTCTCTACTCACAGGAACTTTCACCCTTGCTTCCTAGTGCTCATGTGACCTCAGTTCTTGAAGCGGGAGAGTATTTTGTGTACTGATGTGCAAAAAGCACAGCAGGTTGCTAGATAGCTTCAGGGAATGTCCTATTGATCATGTAATTGGTTCCTTTGTTCCTAACATTTCAGCCACTTGTTCTGAGATAAGGGTACCAAGCTCCTAACCGCATGCTTGTAGGGTTCAAAGAGGCTTTATAGGAGCGCATACTCCTTCATCTGTCCATGAAAAGTGCCGAATAGCTCGAATGTTAGTGTTGGAACAACTGTTTGTAGGAGCTTGAACTTACTGTAGCCAATACACATCCATACCAAGTGAAGTAACCTCGTGCCAGAGGTCCCTATGCTTGTGCCAAACAACAGGAGTGGCCATGTGCTGTTCGTAGCTTGGGTTGCATTTCTCCATAGCGCTCCTTCAGTTTGAGCACAAGGATCTCTTGCATCCCATTCTAATTCTGAGGAGTAACCTCTGGTTCTGCTGAAAATAAGGGACTTTCAAAGGAAACTCGGTTTATATCTGGGAACAGAGAAGAAAAAATAAGCAGGTTAACAGAGAGAACGATGAATTGTTTCAGAGAAGGCTGATGCATTATATGATTTCTTCCTGCTGGTTTTTTGGCTGAGGTTGGTGTGGGCGCACTTGTTTTGTTTCAGGTTTTGGAGGGGGTTTAGTGGCTTGCTTCTGCTTGACTTTCCTTAACTAGCTTTTGCTTTCCTCTGCTGAAGCCCTTGATGTTGTCCTTGATTTTTCAAGTTGGTAAGAGGAAAGAGATGGGGGATTTTATTTCTCATTCTGACAGCTTTATTTTGGTGTCAATTGAAGTCCAGTCAATTTTACATTTCGTAGACAAGCTTGAGCCATAATTTTGTTTAGCACTTTACAGTTCTAGTGCTCATGTTGTTAATATGGTTTTTGGTACATGATTACAAGAGTATTTTAGTTTTAATTTAGTTTTTTTATATTTATTTGTGATTCTTTCCCCCTTTGTAGGTTCTTGGAAAGTGTAGGTGATATCAGTTGCACAGAAAAAGAAAATGAGATGTTTAAAAAAACAAGCATTAAAAAGGACCACGCTGTTTAAAGATATGGATACTGAGGAGTCGTTGCAGCACATTAAATGAAACATTGAACTGGTGCGTTTAAGCATGGTATATTCTGTAATCTGCTTTACTTACGCGGTTTTGTTAAGCAGGTTTTAGGGTTTTTTTTGTGTAACATAATATTTCTTTAAGGCAAACCAGAACGTGTCTGCAATGAATTGCACCGACAGCAATAAAAACGAGACCCTGGCTGAACTTGTACTGAGTGGTTCTGCTCTGTCCCAGCACCATGCTGGGAGGAGAGCCTGGCCTGCCACCGCCCCGCTGCCAGTGCTGGGGGGAGGGT